GCATGCATCTCAATTTCAAAAAATTGCCCCTTATGACTGGTTTTGTGGTCCAGGGTCACAAATATGACTTTTTCCAATAATAAACCAAATATGCACAACAGAATCTTTCTAGTTAGACACTTAGCTGATGCTTTTATCCTAAATATCTATAATACAGTAACATATTACAGGTCCAGCCCCCTGGAGGATCATTTCTTACAAATAAATGACTGAATTTAATAATAAAATAAATGACTGAATTCGATTATAAAATTAAAATGCAAAATAAGAATAATTTTAACAAATATTACACAATATAAATAATATAGTGTTTCTTGTCATTAAAGTAATGAGAACTGGGGATAAAATATGCTTAACTCATGAAAATAAGTTCCTAAAAAGTTTTTAGCCAAAAGGTGATAAAAAAAAAAAAAGTACAAATTTGCATTCTGCTTGAGAAATGCATTAGAAGTTGTGTGATTATAGGGCTATTATTTGAGAATGTATTTACCTTTGTGACGTAGATGAAGGCAGAAACATTAGACGCTATGTTTCTGTGGGTGAGCATCGCTCCTTTAGGGTTTCCTTGTGAGAAACCAAACGAGAAACGTTGTGTCCATCATTACACTCAATTCACATGTGGCCTGAAATTCTTCTTGATTCTTCTTGAAATTTTTTAAACTGATATTAAAATCAAGAATTTGGAGTGCTAGAAGAGACATTTACATTTCTGCATTGGTCAGACACTTTTATCCAAAGGACATTACATTGCATTGAAGCCAAATGTACATTGATATCAATTCATGTATTTTCTGGGAATTGTAGCCATGGATCTTAGTGTTGCTAGTGCATCATACCTGTGGTTCCACTTGTAAAACAAATAATAGCCAAGTCATCAGGCTGAGGGGGCTGCAAATACAGGAGGAATTAAATAAATATTGAGAATTTTAAAGAAATAATAAAAACACAGAAAAGTAGCATCCAGACTTTTTCCAGAAACAAACCTTTTATAATTCTAAAATATACACTGGCAAACTGAAAAAGAAACTACAGTACTAACCACAGGATGCTGTCGATGAGCCTTGCCGATATTCTGCGAAGGAAGGGAAACTTATTTAAATAAATGATGGAGACAGAGGAAGCTCAGTGAAAGAGGAAGAAACTGCAGGCGTGAATGAGGTTTGTGTTTGTGACTGACAGCAATCAAACACAAGCACAGCCAATATAAACCTTCATCTCGCAGATCAAACTTAGAAAGTTCAAGTATAAATAAGGATTTCCCAAACTGAAGTTCACAAGATGATGAAATGGTAATTAAATAATACAAATGTAAAATTAAAATATTGAATTTATAAATAATTTAATTAAAAAAAACTAATAATTTTAAAACAAATATAAAAACACTTAATAAGCAACTTACATTATGAAAATGTAGTATTAAAATAAATGACTAAAAATGTAATCATAATGTCAAAATAATAAAATAAATCAATTAAAATAAGTGTAATAAACGACAAATTTAATCATAAAATATTTAAATAAATAATACAAACAAAAAACACTTATTTATGAAATAACAAAATATTGAAAAATAATTATAAAATTTCAATAAACTTAAATCATAAAAATGTCATATTAAAATAAATACACAATATTAAATTAAAATAGACTTCATTTAATCAAAAAATGCTACAATGAAAAACAAAAGAAAAATACAAATTAAAAGAAATACAACAAAAAAATCATCAAAATTATATTTCATATAAATATAAAATGTAATATTGAAATAAATCATTAAAATAAAAAAAAACGTGAACAACCTAATTAAATCATAAAATGTAATATTGAAAAATACATATTAAAATAAAAACAAATCATAATAAAACACTTAAAAAACATACTAAAATTAAATTTATCAGCATGTCATGTGACCAATAACAGTCATCACAGAAAAGTGAACATGCAAATAGGTTTTTTAATTATTTTTATAATTATTTTTTTTTTAATATTTATTTGAAATCTTTTTTTTTTTTTTTTGATATGGTACTCTATGGTATTCTTTTACATAAATACTATTGTACATGAATATGATATTCATATAGTTCATCCAATTCCATAACTGTAACATGGTACTTTAAAAAAATAAAAATAATAATTAGTAGGCTTGAAGGACTTTCTATAAATAGCAGCTGAAGTGTCAGTGAGCTCTGAGGGCAAGCGGTCAGTAATGCAGGTCACCCAGTTACCACAGCTGATCCGCGATCCGTGTCACAGCAAGACAAACATACCCCACCAGACGCAAACACACGCATCGATCGCATTCACTGGGGTTAAGCAAAGATTTGAGCAGACAAGCTGCGGTTTATTCACCTCTGCGTCTCTCAGACTGATGATGTCGATGCCGCACTGCTGTGCTCTGCTAACCAAATCAGTGTCAAAGTTTTCCATGAGGATCAGGGTTTTGACTGAGTGCTGCCGGCCCGAAACACAGTCCAACAGCAGCTTGGCCTTCTCAGGGACGTCACATACGACTGTAGAGATACCGGCTTCAAAACACACACAAATGCATGTAGCAAAACAGACAAACAATCATAAAAAATAAACAAATACATTCATTCTCTTGATCTTGATGCTGAATACTTCAAGCTAAGAATCTCTAACCCTAATAATGACCTAGCAAACACCAATAAAAAGACAACAGGGACATCTTGTATGACACATCTGCATGCATACTAAAATCAATGACTAATCAATAACAAACTTAATGTAAACACACCATTTCAAGATAAAACTGCATAAAAAACTGACATACTTTTGTCGAGGATGTAGCTTATCGCTTCTGTGCCCAAGGTGTCATACAGAGGAACTGATATCAGAGAGTATGTGTAGCAGGCCAGCTCTGAAATCGTCCACTGGATAAAGATTTCTGACATTAGTGATCAAATATTTGCAATCTCAAACGTTAGAAGATGAACTGCACATTTGTTCATTGTAACCTGTTGGTCACACATTTAGAGTCCCAAACAGAGCAAAAACTCAAGACAGGAGATTTTAAAGGGGTCATATGATGCTGCTATAAAGAACATTATTTGGTGTATTTGGTGTAATGAAATGTGTTTATGCGGTTTAAAGTAAAAAAAAAAACATTATTTTCCACATACTGTACATTATTGTTTCTCCTCTATGCCCCGCCTTTTTGAAACGCATCGATTTTTACAAAGCTCATCGGTCTGAAAAAGCGAGGTGTGCTGTGATTGGCCAGCTATCCAATGCGTTGTGATTGGCCGAATACCTCAAGCGTGAGACAGAAATGTTACGCCCCTCACATACTGTTGATGTCGTGTCCCGGTCAGAGTGACGAAACAAAAACATGAAAACCCATTACAAACGAGGCATTTGTTGCATCCAGTGGGGACATAATTACTGATTATAATGACTTATACTGTCTTTTTACGCGTTGCGTTGCATAGAAAGGAAAAATTTAAATCGCATCATATGACCCCTTTAAAGTTATCATTCCAATTTAAATTGAAATTAAAGATTCATTTTATCTTTTAAAGGTGAAGTGTATATTATCTAATTGCAAATAATGCTTTATAACGTTTTTTTGTATCTGCGATTGGTCATACAAAGAATATATTAAAGAAAAATTTTAATATAGAAAAAAAAAACTGATTTGGAGAAATGTAGCATTACATCACTTGCTAAAAAACAGATCCTCTGCAGTGAAAAACACTTTCAGTGGGTGCCATCAGAATGAGAGTCCAAACAGCTGATAAAAACAAATCCATCATTTATCCATTTTTAACTTCAAACTGTTGCATCCGGACAAATATAAGTCCATAATCCATGATAAAGCTTCCTTCAGTGAAAAGGACAGTCCCCTGTTGTCTTCTGTTCTATGCATATTTCTCTCTTGATTCAGACAAGACTTTCTTTACTGGAGAAAGCAATATTATTTATAGAGGACTTATATTTTTGCCTGAAGCAATGATTTGGTATTAAAAAATTATGGATTTGTTTCTCAAAAACATTCAGCTTTTCCCTTCCCGAGACGTTAGTTAATGAACTGGAGTGGTGTGGATTATTGTGATGTTTTTATCAGCTGTTTGGACTCTCATTCTGACGGCACCCATTCACTGCAGAGGATCCATTGGTGAGTAAGTGATGTAATGCTACATTTCTCCAAATTCAGTTAAGAAATTTTCTGCACATTTCCAATTTTGGATGAACTATTCCTTTAAGATGAATCGCATCATTAATTTAAACCAGGTTAAAATCTAAACACAAGTGTAAAGATGCATTTGGGCAATAAATCACATATTTATTAGCTCTGACCTCTGGTCTGTTCTGAGAGAAGATGCCGATGTAGGGGTCTCCATCCTTCGAGTGTCCTTTGTGCAAAAACGCTGATCCCAAATTCTCTGCTCGCTCAATCACCTGATGAAGAAGAAATGACAAATAACTTAACCAAACCAGAAAATGACTTACGCAGTTCACTGTGCACAAGAAGGGTGGAGAAATTAAAGAAAATATCCATATCCACCATAAACTTATTTTTCTAAATAGTTTCAATTCAATTCCAATTCAAAGAACTTCATTTTTCCATTAGGAACTTAATACATTAAAGATTATCAGTGCATGCATTCAGTATCATGTGCAATCTATGTAGCTTATTAACAAGACAACAACATAAGGAATGTAAATTTGACTGCTTCAGCAGTTAAACAAGTTCCCACACGCCCGTTTTACAGTTTGACCACCTGTGTAAGTGCAACCTTCACAACCACGCCAACAACCTACAAGAAACCTGCACTTAAGAGGTCTGAAATCCAAAACCATCTTCTCCACAGTTGTGTGTCGGACGCTCTAATTACACATCACACAGATTAGGCATTTTGAAAGAACATAATGTCTCACTATATGAATTACTTCACAGGTTTTACAGCACGATAGATGTCAATTATGTAAAGTTTTTATGAAATGTCCCAGTGCACCAGGTAACTTATTAACTTGAGAGCCAAGAGAACATTAAATGTGAGCTATAATAAGTCCCAAAGCTCAACAATAAAGATGGGCGGATGGCATGCACCAGTGTGAGAGATGGGCCAGTTCTGCATTGTGACATTTTACATTTGTATGCTTATGTCTTAAAATACTTCTGTTTTCTGTGATGGATTTAACATTGTGAAATCTGCTGATTTAAATATCACCAAGGTAAAGTTATGAAGCATCAGTCCGAATGCTTTGAAAATTACAAACAATACACTGCACGCCATAATTTCTAGCAAAAGTATGTTTATGAATTTACTGCTGCTGAGTTGAATTGTAGATGCAAATTTCCAAATATTATTGCAAAATATGAATTTAATAAATTATCTGCATTCAAATTATTATTGATAACCTTAAAGGGATAGTTCACCCAAAAATGAAAATTCTGTCATTAATTACTCACCCTCATGTCGTTCCAAACCCATATGACCTCCGTTCATCTTCGGAACACAAATTAAGATATTTTTGATGGAATCTGAGAGCTCTGTGCCCCTCCCATAGACAGCAAGGGTACTACCACGATCAAGGTCCAGAAACTTAGCAAGGACATCGCTAAAGTAATCCATGTGACATCAGGGGTTCAACCGTAATTTTAGGAAGCTACGAGAATACTTTTTTTAGCACAAAAGAAAAAAATAACGACTTTATTCAACAATTTGTCTCCTCCGCGTCACCCTAGCGCCATTTTGGAGAATATCCACTGAATGTAAATGGCGTATGCTGTTCTTTTCGTACGCGGCATACGAAAGCGGCATACACTTTGATTTGAACGAAAACAACGTATCCGCGTGGCGCAGCTGACACAGAACAGCATACGCCGTTTACATTCAGTGGATACTCTCCAAAATGGTGCTAGGGTGACGCGGAGGACACGAATTGTTGAATAAAGTCGTTATTTTTTTCTTTTGCGCTAAAAAAAGTATTCTCGTAGCTTCCTAAAATTACGGTTGAACCCCTGATGTCACATGGATTACTTTACCGATCTCCTTGCTATGTTTCTGGACCTTGATTGTGTAAGGATCCTTGCGGTCTATGGGAGGGCCACAGAGCTCTCAGATTCCATCAAAAATATCTTAATTGGTGTTCTGTAGATGAACGGAGGTCATATGGGTTTGGAACGACATGAGGGTGAGTAATTAATGACAGAACTTTCATTTTTGGGTGAACTAACCCTTTAACATTTAATAGGAAATATAAAATAAATGTATTGCTTACATACAAAAATGTAAAAATAAAAGTTTTTTTTATTTATATAGCACATTTAAAACAGCCAAAAGACTGACCAAAGTGCTTCACAGTAAAAATCTATCTTAGTGGCGAGGTTAGTGAAAATATCAGAAGACTTACATAATTACAAAAGCATGTATCAATTACAAAAAGCATGGATCAAAACAGAAACCGATATGGATGCAGAAGTGCCATCCTACCTCTGAGTACGAAAGCCATTCATACGGCTGCTTTGGTTTTCTTGATCCCAGACAGGGACCGTTTTCTGAAAGAAAATGTAAAGATATCACAAAGGCCCATTTGATTTTTCTATTTGTTGTTTTTATACAGAAAATATTCAACATCATGTGATATATTAATGCTGACCACTTAACCACAGGTTGACATAGCATTTCATTGCAAAATATAACTATATTATCGCCAAATCTTTATATAAAGTTAGATATACAAGTATGTTCAACTTTATCATTTATTTATTGCTTCAAGGTTGAAATATAAGTGAAAAGTACATACTTGACTCCCTCAGACCCCTGTGAAAGCACTCGTACATGGTCTTGGCGTCCTCGTAGAAATGGCTCAAGAGCGGTCCTCCGTTTAAAACTGCCCCTCGACGAGCAAATTCTCCACCCTGATCGACAAAAAGCATATTTTATATTAAATCTCTGATTGCAGTAAGACAGGCTTTGAGTTCATGTTAATGTAGTATTGTCTTACCGGCAGCTCTACTGACTGCATACGCAGGTCACAGGGCGCTTTGAGAGCTTTGGGTCTGGTGGCGACCCAGTACGCTGTGACGGCGGTGAACACACCCATGCCAAGGAGAATGTTTGTGGAGAGGCTGCGGAAATAGTCCCTCACCTCGGACAGCTCAGGGATTCGCAGCTGCTTCAACAGCTCGTGTGCCTGCATGACTACAGCGAACTCAATCTGTGGAGGACAACAGGGGTTAAATTAGGCCCTACTGCGCTTATACCCTGGTACAGGGAAAAATACTTTGATATTACCATATTTATGTATCATGGAATGGCAAGAAACTTCAAAAGACAAAAAACTGATAAGCAGAGTTGACGGTATCTGTTCCTTGTTTGTTATAGTTCTTGTTTTGTGTTTTCAAAATTGAATACAAAATACAAATAAATAAATAAACAAATAAAAGTAATTAAGTAAGTAAGTGGTTTACCATGGTACATGTCCAAACATTTTTTTATTATTTGTGAAATCATTTTAAAGGAAAATTAAATAAATACACAAATATATATACAGTATATATATATATATTTATAATATTCCAAGGAACTTCAACAGATCAAAAGGTTACCAGGGTACAAAAAAAATCATGGTACTTCTAGAAAACACAAAAGGTTGTTTTTATTACATTTTTTTGCATTGTGACATTATTTTCATGGCAAGCACATTTTTAATCCCAGATAAATTACCATAATGCAAAATTTCAAAAAGATCAAAAGAAATATGAGAAATGTGTTTGTGTCTGGCAGGCAACTTTCTTATTGTCCTTCAGTGATTCATAAAATCAGTCCTGTAAAATCAGTTTTTATTGGCACATTATTGAGCTGTAAAATCCTGTCAAGTGTTTTGAAATATTGCGGAAAACCCTTTGATTAAATCTTAGCAATCAATTGGTTAATCAATGTGAACTGTGACACATTATCTTTGCAGGGAAACAGTCAGTGCTGAAGGGTCAAACTGATTAAACGATCAGATGTTCTGCAAGGTTATCTTCATCTGCTACATCTGTGATTCAGCTCACATCAAGCTTTGCTTTTACATAACAACAAACCTTCACAGCAATCAACACTCCTGTTATTAAACCTACATTTTACAAAACAGGTTTCTGGACAAAATTAACCCCAACAGCTAAAACTAGTGTTCGCTAGATATTTTGCATTGTTGTGACATTATTTTCATGACTACTAAGCACATTTAAACTTGAAAGATACATTTAAAACACGCACACGCGCGCGCGCGCGCGCGCGCACGCGCACACACACACACACACACACACACACACACACACACACACACACACACACACACACACACACACACACACACACTCTGTTTCTTATTAAACTATGCATTCAGTAAAATTTAGTTTAACAGATAATGGCATAGTGTATACTTACAAGTTACAACTGTACTTTTTTTAAATGTATTTTATAATTCACCTTTTAATTTCACATTACATACAGTAACTGTCATAAATGGGCAAAAAACTTTAACAATAACCTTAAAAATAACTATTTTTCTGCAATAAATATACATTGTAAATTTATAATATTACTAGAATACTTTTTACAAGAAAATACTTTCAGACTTTAAAATTTCACAATTAATTCAATGCATTACTTGCCGTTTGTAATTATTCCTGTAAAGGGATTCCTTTGTAATTATTTCTGAGTAAAACTGTTTCAAAGTAAGTCCTGCAGTGCACTGATCATCAACATTTTTAGTTGAACAAAAGGAACGTTTTTTACTTGATTAGTTTATCACAGAAGCTGAGGATCTGAACATTGAACAGGTCCAACTACACATTATAATCATATTCAAATTAACTATATAAACTACAAGTTTCATTTGCAACAAGCGAGGACGCTTTACACCTTTAACCTCTCACCCACTTCTATTCGTACTGCCCCGGGGCAGATCATTCTGAGAAACTGCCTTCACTTAGTGAGTAAAAACAGACACAGCGTGAAGCCCTTGTAAACTCATGCATGACTGCATACAAACAATGCAGAGTTAAATCCTGTGGAGACTTGGGAGCTAAAATACTCCAAACCTTTCAATATCCTCACTCTTTCAGAACAGCAAATACTAAATTCTCTGCATTCTGACAAAAGCAATTGTACTATAAAATAGTTTCTTCAACTTGGCTAGTACACGCCTTTGCATGAAAACCTGCCCTTCATCAAGGTGTTGACCGCAAAGTCAAACCATCTCAAATCACTTAGCAAGAACTCAACATGACCAACACACAACACACACACACTTCACCTGAGACTAGAAGAATAAGGTAGGTCCAAACGTGGGCGCCGATGTGCTTCCCACACCCACAGAATCACGCCAACAGGAAGGTGAAACGACCAGGTGAAGGTAAAAACAGTTCAGTCTGAACATCTACAGGTTGAGTTCATGTGCAACCGCGGGTCAGACCCCTGCCGACCCCTTCCTGCTCCTTATTGGACAGACACACACTCTTAGAACCTGCTGCGTCAGCCAATCACAGAACAGGAAGTCAAACAAGCAACGACCAATAGTTAAAGTCCTAAAAGTCACAACTGACTAGATATGATTGTTACTGTGTCAATACTCAACAAGAACTATATGCTGATTACATTATGTTGATATTCTGTGATAAAAATTGACTGACATGGTTTTTTTTTTTTTTTATTAATACTTATACTTAGCAAGGATGCATTAAAATGATCAAAAGTGACACTAAAGACATTTATAATGTTACAAAGATTTCTACAGTCTATTCATCAAAAAAATCCTGAAAAAAACAATGAATTATGATTTACACAAAAAATAGCAGCACAACTGTTTTCAACATTTAAAATAATTAGAAATGTTTCTTGAGCAGCAAATCAGCATATTAGATTGATTTCTGAAAGATCATGTGACACTGACTGAAGACTGCAGTAATGATGCTGAAAATTCAGCTTTGATCACAGGAATAAATTACATTTTGTATTCATTAGAAAACAGCTATATATAATAAACAGTAGGATGACATTTCCAACAGAATTCTCACTACTGTAATATACCTCTTTTTGGGTCCCATTGTTTTTTTTATTGGTGATTCATTATAAAATAGATATTAATATTTACTTAACATACATTTTATCAGCATAAAGGCAGGACAGCATATAATACTACCATTACATAATCTTCTGATCAAAAGTCTGGGGTTGTTAAGATTTTTTTATGTTTTTGAAAGAAGTCTCTTCTGCGTATCAAGGCTGCATTTATTTGATCAAAAATACAGTAAAAACAGCAATACTGGGAAATATTATTACAATTTAAAACTGTTTTCTATGTGAATATATCGTAAAAAACAAACAAAAAAAAAAATTCTGTGATGCAAAGCTGAATTTTCAGCATCATTACTCCAGTCTTCAGTGTCACATGATCCTTCAGAAATCATTCTAATATGCTGATTTGCTGCTCAAGAAACATTTCTGATTAATAATATTGACAACAGTTGTGCTGCTTAATTTTGTGGAAATAAATACCATATTTTATTTCAGGATTCTTTGATGAATATAAAGTTCAAAGGAACAACATTTATTTAAAGCAGAAATCTTCTATAACATTATAAATGTCTTTATGCACTTTTCAAAAAAAAAATAAAAAAAATACTTTAAAAATGAAACCATAAAAAAATGGCCCTAAATGCAAAGCACAATTTCTTAGGCTTTAGGGTGAATTATGACCCAGACACACTCTTGAGAGGTTTCATGAGATTCACTTCTCTACTATTCACTCTAGATCATTTCTTTCAGGCATTCATAAGGAATGTTTACATAGTTTCAAAACCCACACAACAGACAAGATTGCATCACACTGCCTGTCAAACACTCAATGACAAGTTCCAATGAGACTGAGCTAACAGAAATGATTCAAGAGGTGCTTACCTCAGCAATGACCATCAATAAATAAATATTGACCAATCAATTGGCAGATGTATCGTTCTATCCATGATAAAGGGCACACAACTAAAGGCTAGTCAAACTGAGAAGTGGAAAGTGGTATCTTTGATTCAGTGCTGCAACTATTCAAAAACTACAACATTAGACAATTATGAGTCTGTTGCATCATGGGTTAGACAGTTGATCTTATTTACAGCTTTAGACAATAATAAACCCAATAAACCAGATTAAATCAGACAGGCAGAATCAGTCTGACCTTGTGATATCTATGACATGTCTCTGACCGGGACAAAGTTTGAGCTTTACTCTGCTTATGAGTGTTGACAAAATATCGGCCTACACTGCCATCTCACTTATAAATTCTTGAAAGATATGTGACCTATAAATGCATGGATGTGGGGGAAATTCGTCCCCCGCACTTTTTCGGGCAAGTGTGTTCACATAGAGGTTTTCAAGAGCCGGTGTGAATAAATATAGATTTAAATTCAAAGAGACAGGATAGTCTGTGCATGATCTGATGTTTTATTCGGACCCAGAATAAGGCGAGATAAACATCACGGAGCGCTAAACACTCCGTGCAGTGTATGTTTCATTCATACTCGAAGCCAGAGGGCGCTCTCGCTCAGAAAGTCGTATGGAGCAGGGCTGCTATTTAAAAACAGTGGCACAACAAATGGAAAACAGTGGCATGAGGTTGAGTGGAACAGATCCAGATATATTAAAGGCATGCGATTTATGACGAGCGGACATATGACATCCGCATTAGGCTCAAGAACAAGACAGCTTTCCAATGATTTGAGGTGTAAGCTTTAGTGCAATGTGAATTAAGTCAATTCAAAATCAAAAGTCAAAATCAAAACTTACA